GGAACAGAGGAAAGAACTACGTGTGGCTTGATCCCTCAGAAAGGGTACGTAGGCAGCCTACAGTTATCAGGTACAGCCACGAATCAAAGTCCCTCAGTTGTGTTACTGTTTTCAAGACATTTTAGTCATTTACGATCCACGTTTACCAGGTGTCAGTTTTAAACAGGTTTCGACCCGGATTCCAAAGTGGAAATTGGGTCAGGTCGTTTCACTGATACAACTGCCAAGGAGGAGGCGGACGACCGAGCCGATGCCTGAGCGCTTGTATATTTTTTTTATGATGTACTCGTTGATCCTTTGTTTCAGACTTAGCTTTTGTTTTGTATGGATATTGCCCGGCCCTAAGGCAGGGTTACTTTGATTTTTTATGATAGCCTGGTATCGTTTTGCTTATGCATTCTACCAACTTTTGAAGTGTGAATGAGTAGAAATAGGGCCCAGTTGGGTGCTTCTATTAAATGAGTGCCGAAAGGCGGAAATTACAATGGTTGGTTTGAGTTAAGGCTCAAGACTGAAGTGTAAGAAAACATAATGTCCTAGGGTCTAGGTATGTTTATTTGTAGTAGTACTTGAGATTATCAGCGTTCCAAGGATGAGGCAAAGTTTTGCCTTTAGGATCCCGAAGCTGATAAGCCCCGAGACGGCTAACCTTGGTGACCTTATATGGACCTTCCCATGTACAGCCCAGGGTACCTTCATTAGGATTCTTAGTGGCCAAGGAAACCTTGCGCATGACCCAGTCCCCAGCTGTGAAAGCTCAGGGTTTGACTCTGGAGTTGTAGTACTTGGCAATACGTTGTTTGTACGCGACGTTGCACATGTTGGACTGGTCACAAAGCTCGTCAATAAAGTCGAGGTTGAGGGCCAACTGCTCGTTATTGGCCTCGGCCTCATAAGTGGAGGTTCGGTATGTGGGCTAGCCAATCTCCACTGGTGCCACGGCTTCGGTACCAAAGGAAAGAGAGAACGGCGTTTCTCCCGTTGAGGTACGGAAGGTGGTGCGGTAGGCCCAAAGAACTTCTGGGAGTAGCTCTGACCAGCAACGCTTGGCTTTGTCAAGCTTGGTCTTCAGGGTCTTCTTGATAATTTTGTTCACGGCTTCGACCTGGCCATTAGACTGAGGATGGGCTGGGGAGGCGAAGCAAAGCTTTATCTTGAGGATGGAACAAAACTGCTTGAACTTTGCGTTGTCAAATTGCCGGCCGTTGTCCGTGATGATGGTGTTGGGGATGCCGAAGTGGCACACGATATTTTGCCAGACGAACATCTCAATGCGAGCCGCAGTGATGGTGGCTAGGGCCTCAGCTTCAGCCCACTTAGTGAAGTAGTCGACGGCCACGACTGCATACTTGACTTGGCCCTTACCCTCGGGCATAGGTCCAATGAGGTCAAGTCCCCACTGGGCGAATGGCCAAGGACTGACCATTGCTTTCAATGGTTCCTCCGGGAGTTGAGGGATATTGGCGAATCGCTGACACTTATCGCACTTCTGGGTGAAGGCTTGGGCATCAGTGTGAAGTGAGGGCCAGAAGTATCCTTGCCTAATGGCCTTATGCGCTAGTGAGCGAGCGCCTGAATGATTACTACAAATGCCTTCGTGGATTTTCCAAAGGACATAGTGGCCTTCCTCCTGGGTCAGGCACTGAAGGTAGGGGAGGCTGAAGCCACACTTGTACAGGGGGCCATTAATGATTAGGTACCCGGCAAAGCGATAGCGAACACGCCGCGCTTCAGCAGGGTCAGCAGGTAGCCTCTGGTTCTGCAAAAATTGGAGGACGGGGTCCATCCATGTTGGGCTGTGATCGATGGCATAGATGAGTGGTGCCCGTGTGCTTGGCTGATCCAAGATTTCCATGTGGATATTGTGGCCAATACCCTGCTCTATGGCCAAGGCTAATCTAGCCAGGGCATTGGCATGGCTATTCTCCAAGCGCGACACCTGGCTTATGAGATAAGCATTGAAGGTTGTAAGCAAATAGCGGGTATGTTGGAGGTAGGCTGTCATAGACACGTCCTTGGCGGTAAAGTCCTAGTTGACTTGGTGGACAACGAGCTGTGAGTCACTGTAAATTTGAATTTGCCTGGCGCCCATCTCCTTGGCTAACCGAAGGCCAGCTAAGAGTGCTTCTTATTCAGCCTCATTGTTGAAGGCGTGGAATTTGAAGCGGATGGCGTACTCAAGGACAACCTTGTCCGGAGAGATGAGAACAAGGCTAGCTCCGCATCCCTGGGCGTTGGAAGAGCCATCCACGTACAAGGTCCATAATGGCTGAGTCAAGTCTAGAGTGCCGTTGCTGGCAACGTGGACTTGGCTCGGAGTAGGCGTAGGCTCTATCGTAATCTGGGCACCGGCCACGGCATGGGGTTCGGTGAATTCAGATATGAAGTCAGCCACGGCTTGGCCCTTTGTGGCTGGGCGAGGTTTGTAATGGATATCGAACTCCCCAAGTTCAATGGCCCACTTAACTAACCTCTCGGAAGTCTCCGGCTTCTCCAACACTTGCTTGAGTGGTTGGTTGTTTAAGACATGAATGGTATGAGCTTGAAAGTATGGTCTGAGGCGCCTAGCCGAAACCACCAGGGCGAATGCCAATTTCTCAATGTCCGGGTACCGAACCTCATCGTCCTGTAAAGCTTTGCTGACGTAATGCATTGGGTGCTCAGCACCATCCCTTGTCTGGATGAGCACAGAACTGACCGCTGTAGCCGAGACGGAGAGATATATCATGAGGGTGTCTCCAGGCTCAGGTGTTGATAATAAGGCGGCCCGGCTCATGTACTCCTTCAGCTCGTTGAAAGCCTTGTTGCACTTAGCGGTCCAGGTAATGCTCCGCTTACTACCCTTAAGTGCCTTGAAGAAAGGGGCGCAGAGATCAGTGGCCTTGGAGATGAATCTGGTCAGGGCTGCGACACGCCCTGTAAGGCTCTGAATATCCTTGATTGTCTTAGGTACCGTCATGTCTAAGATGGCCTCGATCTTCTAGGGATTGGCTTTAATACCCCTCTGGCTGATCATGAAGCCGAGGAATTTACCTGAAGCCACCCCAAATGCACACTTGGTGGGGTTGAGCCTCATCTTGTACTGCTTTAAGATGGTAAACATCGCCGAAAGGTTGGGGATGTGCTGGTCAGTAGTGCGACTCTTGACCAGCATGTCATCAACATAAACCTCCATGGTGTTGCCAATGAGTGGAGCGAAAATGCTGTTCACCAGACGCTGATACATGGCCCTGGCTTTCTTGAGGCCGAAGGGCATGACTTTGTAGCAGTAAAGGCCACGGTCAGTGATGAAGGATGTGTGGGCTTGGTCCTCAGGGTGCATGAAGATCTGATTGTACCCTGAGTAAGCATCCATGAAGCTGAGGAGGGGGTGGCCGGCTGTGGCGTCGATGAGCTGGTCAATGCGGGGTAGGGGGAAGCTATCCTTCAGGCAGGCCCGATTAAGATTGGTGTAGTCCACGCACATGCTCCAGCCCTTTTTGCTCTTGCGGACCATCACCACATTAGCCAGCCAGGTGGGATAGTCCACCTCCTTGATAAATCCAATGCTACTTAGCTTATCCACGTCTACCCTCATGGCCTCATACAGCTCTGGGTCATAAGCATGACGCTTCTATCGAACGGGTCGGACGGCAGGGTTAATGCTTAGCCGATGGGAGATGATATCTGGTGATATATCAGGCATGTCATTGTATGACCAAGCGAAGACCTCAGAGTTAAGGTGGAGAAAGGCGATAAGATCATATCAAAGCTCTTGTGAGAAGGAGGTACCGATCCTGACTTACCGGTCCGGGATGTCCTCATCGAGACTAACCAGCTCAAGGTCTTCCACAGGTTCGGCCTGTTGGGTGACAGATTCTTCCTTAAGGTCTTCTGGGCGCTCGGTGCCAACTCGAGATGGGGCTGGAGCCTGGGTTACCGCGAAGGCCTCGCCCCTATGTTGGCGGTTGGTAGACTTCACTGCAAAAGTATAGCAGCTTCGGGGGCCAAGTTGGTCGCCGCGCACCATGCCTATGCCATATGGCGTAGGAAACTTCAGCAGCAACATATGGGTGGAGATGAAGACCTTCATCTAGGCCATGGCGGGGCGCCCGAGGATGACGTTGTAGGCTGTGGGGCAGTCAATAATGAGGAAGGGAGTGGTGATTGTCCTCCGCTGGGGTGCTGTTCCAATAGAGATGGGAAGATGGATGCTTCCAATGGGCTGGACCACCTCACCAGAGAAGCTCACAAGGGGTGTAATGCCTCGGTCGAGTAAGTGAGATGGGATCTGGAGCTCGTTGAAAGCATCAGCAAACATCACACTGACCGAACTCCCAGTGTCCACCAAGATACGCCCAACATCGAAGTTAGAAATGTTGGCCCAAATAATAATTGGGTCATCATGAGGGAGAATGACATGCTCCTCCTCCTCGCAGAAGGTAATGGGGGCCCAGTCTGATTTATGTGTCTTCGGCAAACGTCCATGCTCTGCGCTGAAGACCTGGTGCGCATAGGTGGAGTGGACATAATGCTTGATGAAGTTGTTGGAGATTCTAGCCATGGTAGGACCTCCACTAATGGTTGAGATCATGTTGATCTGCCGTTGGTAAGGGTTAGGTGGGGGTGGGAGGTTGTGCACGTATTTGTCCAGCTTCCCCTAAGGAATAAGTCCTTCAATGATGTTGCGCAAGGCAACACAAGATTCAGTTTCATGGTCACCAAACTGATGAAAGCGACAGAAGACACCTGTGTTGGGCATAGGCTTGATGCCTGGTCTCCGGGGGGAGGCTTGGGTATGATAGGTGCCTCATGCACCAGGACATTCTCGTAGGTAGTGTTCAAGGTGGTGAAGACCTCGAACCTAGGCTTGGGTGAGAAGGGGAGTGGAGCCCGGTCACTTGTCCTGTGTGGGTTGCTCCCGCTGGACTGGTGGTGGTTGCCATATCTGCCCCGTTTGTTGTCGCTGAAGGTATGCTGATAGCTATCCTTCCTTTTGGGATGCTGGGCACCGTGGGTACTTGGGGCGGGAGTAGAGTGTTGAGGTGGGTGCTGAAGCAGGTGGAGGATCAGCAAAAGGATTATGCGCTGGGGTGGCTAGGCCACGCTTGGAGTTGAAGTACTCAGCCTTAGCATGAACTGCTGCCTGCTTCATTAGCTCAGCATATGTGTTCCAAGGGTTATTGTGCACTAGGTACCGGAAGTTGGATTCTCGGAGGCCACTCTTGAAAGCACCGAAGGCGGCGCGATCATCAGTCTCTGGGCAGTGGGAGTATTCGTGGCTGAACCGGGCTGCAAACTCCCGGAGTGGCTCATCTTCACCCTGCCGAAGCATATACAGGTCGTCCGCGGAATATAGGCGATCAGTCTGGATCATGAAATGGTCCAGGAAGGTCTGCTTCAGACTGTCAAATGTGTTGATGGTGCGGGGTTTTAGCCTATAGAACCAATTCAGGGCCGCGTCACTGAGGGTGGATGGGAAGAGGAGGCACATGCCTTCGTCCGTTAAGCCCTTGCACCCCAGGGCAGACTGGAAAGAATGTATGTGGGTGAGAGGATCCTCTGTGCCAGTGTAGAAGGCGATGCAGAGGGGCTGGATTTCTTTCACCTGGTGGTAATTAAGGATGCATTCGGTAAAGGGCCCAGGTTTTGGCTTTGACTAAAAGGGTTGGTGGTTGCGCTGCTACTCGCTCTCTAGGCGTCAGACCTTCTCGAAGAGAAGCCTCATGGCCGGGTCGGCATGAGGGAGAGTCTCGGGTGCTGGAGGTCTGGTGTGTGGGTGGCCAGGAGCTGAAAAAAGTTCAGGTTCGCCGAGTGCCTCGGTGTGATAAGACTCGTGGTCTTCCGAGTAACCCTGTCCCCAGTCACCTGAGTCCCCCATACCTTCTTTCGCAGGTATGTGGGTAGGCCTCTGTGGGGGGCCTAGGCATGTCACCCTTTGGTCCTGGAGATGAACGGGTATAGTAATGGGTCATGTCTGACGGTCCAAGATACGACGAGTCAAAAATGTTAAATGATGAGGGGATTGTCATTGGTATAATTGACTCAGGAATATGGTGAGTCAAAAATGTTAAATGATGAGGGGATTGGGCCACACGTAGTTTTTAAATCAACAATAACGATTAAAAATAATATAAGATTATTTAAAGTAATGCTAATGATTAAATTTAGATTCATTTATAACATCAAATTCGCAAGGCAATCACTGAACACTTTATAAGTTTCTTTTATTTTATTAGTTCTTTCTTGCAACCATACCCCATCCAAGGTGTACGTTGACAAACAACACTTTCTAAACTATAAATCAAATGTTCATACCTGTGCAGAGTACTCACGACGCACAAGTTCAAGAATCTCAAACCAAAAACGAATCCATATATATATATATATATACACACACACCTCACACCATTATCATGTATCAGGGGAAAACAATCCAATTCGGGGATCGTTTGACTAGACCGCATGGAGGAATCCTCAACAACCATGTGGCCAAGGACAAGCCGTCTAACTGGAAGATTGGGCTCCCAGCACGCACAACAGAATCCTCAATATTTGTGCGCCTGTACAAGTCCTACATGTGCATACTACCCCTTTAAAGGTCTACGAAACACCTTGCCAAGGGTGCTCGGGTTCCGACATATCCAAGTATCCAAGTGCCGGGGAGGGGAAAAAATCTAACCTGGGATCGTTTCTGCTAAATCACGCGGAGGAATCCTCAACAGCCATGTGGCCAGGGACGAGCCGTTCAACCAAGGGACTGGGCTTCCAGCACGCACAATAAAATCCTTAATACTCGTGCACCTATGACAAGTCCTACGCAGGCAGACTACCTTGCTAAGGGTTAACGAAACACCCAGTTAAGGGTGCCCAGGTTTCGATCATATCCAAATCATAACCTCTGTTTACATGAGATGGCGTGTCATTGCCAAGATCCAAAATTCACTTTCATAAACTAATATATAATAAAGATAATATTCTCAAAATCCAATATCCAAAACAAATCGTTTCCATATAACATAAATATATATAATAAAATAATACCCGTACTTTCTTTTCGAAAACCATATTAAAATCATAATTAAGAAAAACACCAAGACTAAATAAGCCCATTTGATTTTATTAATATACAAACTCTATTCATATACTTAGGAAATATACAACCTCTCAAAATCCCATAAGACAAGATAATAAAATCCAAAACACCATATTTAAAATTCCCAAAATCATAGCCCATCAATATATACATACCAATTCCGAAATTCTGAAAGATATTGAAGTTCAAAGTCTGATAACCACATAAACTAATGCATCAAAACCAAAATCCATATCATACCCAAAGTCACCATAATCCCTTAGAAATAATATTAATAGCACCAATAATAATAATTGTCACCTCCTGGGATTGGCAATGCCGTAGCACGATATTGTCTGCTTTGGGGCCCCCTCTCTGCCATAACGGTTTTGTTTCTGGGAGCTCACAAGCAACTTCCCAGTGGGATAGCGGTTTTGTTTCTGGGAGCTCACAAGCAACTTCCCAGTGGGTCACCCATCCTAGGATTGCTCTAACCTCTCACTCGCTTAACTTCGGAGTTCCCATGACTCCAAAGCCAATGAGCTCCCAAAAAGCCTCGTGCTAGATGGATGCGGGTGTGTACATATAAGGCACATCACCCCCTCTCCGTTGGTCGATGTGGGATCTTACAATAATAATAATAATAATAATAATAATAATAATAATAAGCATTCTCGAAATTGTCATAATCACATATTCTATCCTAAAAATTCACTAGTTTGAATTAGATCACCCATAGCTTTCGACATCCGTTCTCAAATCAATTCCACCTACATATACCATTCAGCAAACCAGGATTCATAACCCTTATTATTTACTTTCCAAGACAACCTTTTAAAACCCGCATTAATATCCAATGTACCCCTAACCCAAACATATAGACATATATTTGAGTGTAAACATATAATTGACATTTAATTAGGCCCATACTGATGCCAAACTCCTCTATCAAGCCATAAGTGAATTATAATAACAATCATTAAAATAAAACGATAATGATAATAATAACAATACGCCATAACCACCATTCAAAATCCCACGTATTTAACATTGGCGAACAATTCCAGTAATACTATCTAGTGCCGAAGGCCACAATTGGAACATACCCCCAAGCCCATAATTCCCAGAAACTTAACGTGTATACACAACCTTGGAAAGGTCTGAAAGCCATTCTAGTACCTTCCCAGAGGATGAGACGGTCGCAAAAGACCCGTGGTCAAAAGTTGGTCAAACTTCTCATTTTTGGTCCACTAGGCCCACGAGGCACACGGCCTTTGATTTCTGATCCGAAAGTTTACTAAACAAGTCTTGCAAATTTAGTCTAGATCGAGCAGTCGGATCGCTCTTGATCGCACGATCGGACGGTCACTATTTTACGTAATCTTTGAATCATTGATTCGGAGTATCCGGGACTCCAATTCTCGATCCGTGAGTTCCTACATGATCCTAGAAGTACCTAGATCAACATACTTGGAAATGCAGCCGATCCAATGGTCCGAACATATTGAACCCGGATATGCCTA